CGAGCGAAGCGAGACTCTACCGTGCGTGATGATATCTTTGTTTGCTTAACGAACTTTCGCAAACAAAAAGATATTCAATAATAAGATTTTATTAAGACTGACATGAAATTAAATACTACGTATAAGTATATTCAAGCAAATATATCCTTTAACAGTCAAAGAGTCTAGATCTTCTCAATGCCTAAATAATTCACAGTGAATTATCATAAAAAGATATTCCTTTATTACTTTAGTTGAGATCCTGCTCAAGTAAAAAGAGACGGGATTGTGCCTGCTCCGTATTTATTTGATCTCATCAAAACAAAAAAAAAGAGCAACATTTTTTGTATTAAATATTTATTTAATACTTAAGTTTACTTATTGTTTTCCAGTATATAAGCTGTTTCGAACTCGAATAGATAAAGTGGTAAATCCCACAGCATTTCATAGATTGTTCATCTTTAAAAACTAAAATTAGTTAAACAACGGAATGACAAACTTTTTTGTTTAAAAAGTTGAAACTCATTTGCGATACGATCCCTTGAGAAAAAGAACTGATTAGCGCTCCAACTGTTTAACTATACACTAACTGATGTATTTTATCAATTGCTGATGCAGTTATTGATAGAACTAATTAGTTTATTGGAACACTAATCAGTTCTTTTTTCTAAGGAATAATACGACTTTTAATAGAATAATTACAAGTTTCATGTCTGCACTGTAATTGAGCGGCTTCATAATCGTGAAAGCATATAACGAGAAGATTTATCGCTAATTTAAAGTATCGCGCAATAGAACGGAGAAAGGAGAGAAAGAAGTCGCACGCGACTGAATTCTTGGCATAGATGCTCCCGAGCGTCGAAGTATCTGCGAACTATCGAAAGTTCTTCCCTTAATTATATCAGCGAGTTGGCTAGCCCGAAACGTGCCATAAGACTTAATGAGGCTTCATTCCCAAAGTTTGTTAGACCACGATTAGACAACATCCCTGTGAGCAAAGAAGTTTCCGCGAATCAACGAAGTCTTATGCCGTACAAGTTTACGCAAACTTAGATATTGTCATCATTTTAATTCAACCACTATATTAATAATTGAAAATTTTACATTAAAGTATGACGTCGTTTTATTAAAAATGATGCTGACTACGGGCTGAATGATAACTTTACTATAACTTCCCGCGGCAAGTAAACTTCTTGCGAAGAGTCTTGGCGATTAATCTCGGAAAATTACTAACTGTGTGTCGTTGCGAAGTAACGCTAATCACAAAGTTCGATTTTCTAGACTGTCAAGGAAGAAACTGTCTATTCCAGATTTCTGAATAATGAAAAGATAGATTCACATTTAAATTCAGATTCGGGCGTGAGACTCTCTGAGAAATTGGATCATCATAAATTAAATTTGGCCCTGCTCGGTACATATATATTATATATATATATATATAAGCTACAGTTCATCAACACACAATTTACTGACCTGATAGAGAACGAACCATCGTTGTTGCCACTTGGTGGAGTCAGCTGTCCTTTTGTACAAATATCCTGACAGCAAATGATCGTAATGTGCTTTCTCTGAGAGCATGACCAATTGGGAATCATTTACTCTCACTGCAACATACACAGGCACATAGACCTTGTAAATAAAGCAATTAAATGTATACACGAAAAAAAATGGTTTTGTTAAAGTATCAAAAAATTAGGCTAAATACCAATTAAAAAATAACTTTATTAGATTATCAAAATAATTATGTAGGAAATTCAAGTATATTCCTTAGAAATCTAATATTGGCCAATTTATTATTGAAAAACAGAAATTAATTATTTATTTGGAGCACTGTACTAAAAGTACTAATAACAATTTTTAATACACTTCAAATAATACTCAAATAATACTGTAATACTTTAAATAAGTTATTATTATCTTTCAGTAATAAATTGGCCAATATTAGATTTTTGTAAAGGAATAAGCAACGTTGTGTGTGTAAACAATTTTAACATTTTATAGCAACTAGCTTGAGCGTGCTATATAATTATTTTGCTGGTCCAACAAATTTATTTTCAGTTTTGTATTTAGCTAAACTTTTAAATAATTCAGTAAAACTTTTTTTCATGTAACTGTTCAGATTTTAACGTTTATAAAAAAACTCAATATGTGCAGTATGTCATTCCGCGAATTTTCTGGATATGTTTGCGAAATGGAATTTGTACAAAGAACAATTTGTTTGCTAGAGGAAAAAAATCTGTTTGTAAATTTTTATGAAAATTTAATATTAAAAATGTCATTTAAAATATTGCGGCATACACATAATTAAATTATCTAAATTATCTCGATTAATCGTCACTCTTTGTAATGAATTCAGCAGTTCGCGTTTGAAGCGCGTCTACTTTATGTTTTACATCGCTTTTCTGAGAGTGCATTAATTACGCGAACAGAGATCTACCTGCGCGCTTGCGAATCAACGTGACGTGATGTGTACAAACGCAAAATTATATCCGAATTGCGAAATCATATACTGCATCTATATATTTCATGTTGTGCATGGCACAACAATGCGCTGCATCACAATCATGCATCAAATTATTTCGCTATGCAACCATTCCAATAGTACCGCTCAAAGTATTGGCGAATCTTGTTTGCCGCATCGCATCAACATAAATATTAATAATCCACCGAGTGCGATCCACGATAACAAACAACGGCAAGTCTTACCGTTTATTACAATAAATCGACATCCGATAAGTTGTAAAGCTTCGGTGATTAAAAAAAGCGTCGGTTGAGAAATAAACTAATGAAATTCCGCGGAGGCAAACAATTCGCAATTAAAAAATTGCGCGCGATCGATCACAGCCGAATAGGAGTTTAATCGGACACTTGGGAGACCGCGAATGGCGTCCACGTCGCGCGTGCAATCAGAGAGCCACTTTCGAGACTAGATTTCAATCTCCGATATGACGATACGATTTCTAGTTCAGTTTCGTGCAAATGCAACTTTGGTTTAACTACAGAGCTTCGCAAGCTCGCTCGATCGACGCGAGTTCCGAGCTGCGCCGCACTCGCAAACTCGCGCAGTTACAGCGGTCGTTCCTCGTTCCGTTTGTCGAGATCGTGCAGTGTTTAACTTTAGCGCAAAGATACGTGACATTTGAGAAACTTTGTTCCATTCGGAGAAATCGAGCCGCAAATTTCGCTCCATCGCATCGCGTCGCGTCAATGGATGGGGAAACTCGCATAATCCGCACCTATGTATCAGCGCATATATACGAGTACGCCGCTGTACGTGCACCGCATGTAAAAAAAATGGAATAAAAGGAATACGAGCGCGCAATCGAGACCGCGATTATTATTTATATTTATATGCTTGCACGGGATGGAAAATCTAATCTCGGTATAGCATGGAAAATTTTCCAGCAAACAATGGATTTATATAAAACGAGCACTATCGTAAATTTTGATGAGAGAGAGCAAACTTTCCAACGCAAATATTGTAGTTCCGAGAACGGGGAGCACGGACACCTTTGATATCTTTGATGTTCGCGCTTGTATATTTAATATATAAACCCACAATAAAATATATACTATTTGTTTGTTGAAACAAAAGTACCACTGGAAAATCTATACGCGATTTTATTTATAGATTTCATACGCGTGCCGTAATTAAACGCACTTTGTGGTTGTCGATTAAATAAATGATGATTAATGCATCTCCTGGAAACAGCTAAATAAATTCCTAAAATGCGAATTTTATGAAGTACGTTTATTTGTCATATTCCAATTTTATTTAATACTGATGCGTATTCGAATATTAAACGTTATGTAATGGTATTGATCACGAAATCAGAAAATTTCATAAAAATGTATGAATTCATAATTAAAGTCTTTTTTTCAATGTTTTAATTTTATTTAATAACACGATACATTCAAAATAAATATAATAACGATCTTTAATTTAAAGAATTAATCAAAAGTCCTAAAATTTTTTCTAATCTTACATTTATCATACGACTTTGTTAATCTCCTCAAGTTTGGAGTGCTATTATATCAAATAAACGGAGAATTATTTTAATATTACATAATAAGAAGCATTTTATATTTATGTTAAAACTCATACTTATTCCTTTATGTCAAATTTTTGATGTATTCGAATGCTAATTTAATATAATATAATTTGTAAGTTAAAAATTTTATATCAAAATGATATTTCACGTTTCTTAGCGGTAAAATAGCATAATTCATAAGTAAGTGAATAAATAACAATAATGTATTTTACAACGTAATTTCAACGATAATGAATAAAATGTGTTAATTTAACATATTATAAATGTTAAATTTATTGGAAAAACATGTTTCCACCGTTTATCTACAAATTGTATCAATGTTACATTTTTTGTATTAAATTTTACATATATAATATTTATATTATTAACTAACACGTTCATATTATGTTGAATTTAACACAAAAAGGATCATTTGAGACACGTGAAATGTGTAAAATTGAATACAAATTATCCAACTGTGTAGGCAAGAAATAAATATCTTTCATTTAATGGCATAAATCGACGCAAATGTACTATCTTTCTTTGCATTTTATAAGTAATAAAGACGGAACGATACTTATGTTAGTACAGTCATTATAGGATTTGACCTCGGAAAATTCAGGTTAAATTTTTGCATAGACCTCTATTTTTGTATAAGATTGAAAGAAAAAAAAATTTACCATTGTTCCCAGTGGCCGTTAAGAAAAATAATTAAACAAATAGGGTGCAAATTTCAGTTTTTTACAAATATCTCGATAAATATCAATTTACAAAGAAAACATAACAGAGGAAAATTAAGAGCAACAAATTTTGCATAAAAAAGATTCTGTAAGTTTTTGTCGTACGAGCAATACTTTTCACGTAAAAAATTATGCAAGATGTGCGTTGCGCAATGAAGTTGCACGTCGTTAAGAAGCAAAGTGAAATGGAGCGATGCACGCGCGCGCGCGCGCACACACACACATACCCACATCAAAAATATTATAACTTTAAACGAATTATCGTACAAAAATGGGCCAAAACGCATTGAAAAGTTGAAATCTTCACTTTTTTAATGAAAACAGTTCCGTTATTCTACGATAAGTTTTAACAATTTGACAATGGATTAAACAATATATTAGATGCAATTTTGCCTTTTTTCGTGAAATAAGCTTTAAATCGGTATCGAATTGTTTAAAAAAAAATTACCTGCAGGATATTACGACATATACTTCATACTTTGAAAGGAAAAATATGTTAAAGATTTTTTTCTTTAAAATCGAGCGATTGACGTTTTCAGTAATTTTCAAAATTCTTGAGAAAACGTAAAACTTGAAGTCGTCATAATTTTGTGAAAAATTATACTAGAATAATTTTTAAAAATGCAATTGAAAGCTTGAAATTTCTATTGTTAGATCCCTTATCGCAATATTCCATTATATTTCGAATTTTCATTTATTTACATAAATATGTAAATTATTGCAAAAAATGTGTTTAAACTTGTACTGATTTTGATCATCATTGACATAATATTTTAAAAATATAAACAAATGAATATAATGAAGTCGAATATTATGTAAAACCGTCTTAACATGTCAAAATCGTTGTTCCTATATCTTCAAACATTGTTAGTTAAATAACAATATATAATACAAAATAAAATACATAATAAAAAATACAATAAAATACATATAATAAACAATAAAATTAACTGGTTTGTTAATGTATAATAAAAATATAACAATGCATAATAAAAAAATTGAAATAAAGTACTTATTAGAACCGATTGAATTATATATACAGGGTGTCTGATGGGACTTCTGCCAAGCGCTCTTTGTAAATAGATCGGATTAAACTGACTGAGAGTCGAAAAGTTCTCTACCATTTTACAATTTTCGCAATGGTAAAAAATTATTGAAAACCAATATTCGGCAATTTTGAATAATTAATATCTCGTTAATTATTGCGAAAATTGCAAAATGATGGAAAACTTTTCAACTCAGTTTAGTTCGTTCTATCTACAAACAGCGCTTGGCAAAAATCTCACCGGACATTCTGTATATATAATTTAATCAGTTCTGAGAGATAAGTACTTAATATTTCAATTTTTTTATTATGCATTGTTATATTTTTATATATTTTATTTTATTATACATTGACGAACCAGTTAAGTTTATTATATGTATTTTATTATATTTTTTATTGTGTATTATGTATTTTATTTTGTATTATGTATTGTTATTTAACTGACAGTGTATAAAGATGTAGGAACAATGATTTTGACATGTTAAGACGGTTTTATATAATATTCGACTTTATTATATTCACTTGTTTATATTTTTAAAATATTATGTCAATGATGATCAAAATCAGCACAAGTTTAAACAAATATTTCGCAATAATTTACATATTTATGTAAATAAATGAAAATTCGAAATATTATATAACGGAATATTGAGATAATAGATCTAAAAATAGACATTCTAAGCTTTCAATTGCGTTTTTAAGAACTATTCTAGTGTAATTTTTCACTAGAATACTTCAAAGTTATATGATTTCAAATTTTACGTTTATTCAAAAATTTTAAAAATTACTGAAAATGTCAATAGTTCGCTTTTAAAGAAGAAAATTAAAAATTTTTTTTTCCTCTCGTGGACTCAAAGTATGAAGTATATACTGTAATACCCTGCATTTTTTTTAAACAATTTGGTACCGACTTATAGCTAATTTTACGAAAAAAGGCAAAAATTGCATGTAACATATTATTTAATTCACTGTCAAATTGTTAAAAATTAGAATAACGAAACTACTTTCATTAAAAAGGTGAAAATTTTAGCTTTTCAACACGTCTTGGTCCATTTCTGTACGATCGTTCAAAAGTTACGATATTTTTGGTGTGCGGATCTGTGTGTGCGCAACGCTCTATTTCGTTTTGCCTCTTATCAGCGTGCCCACGTTCACTGCGCAACGCACATCTTGCTTAAGTTCTTACATAAAAAGTATTGCTCGTACGACAAAAACTTACAGAACCTTTGGTATGTAAAATTTTTCGCTCTTTAATTTTTCTCTATCATACTTTCTTTGTAAAATTAATATTTATCGAGATATTTGCAAGAAGCCGAAATTTGGGCCCTGTTTAATTATTTTTCTTCTAATCTAGCGATCACTATACAATGGTAAACTTTTTTCTTCTTCAATCTTATACAAAAATAAAGGTCTGCAAAAATTCAACCTGAAGATATTTTTTTCGCGGTTCCGCTCGCAATTTTCGTCTAAATTAACTGTACTATGTCGACTTATATCACTAAGATGGCATCCGTGATTTCCGTGCGTTTCAATAATAATAAACGAAATATATCTCACCAGTTTTTTGCATTTTGGGACTGAGCATGATTGCAGGTCGTTACCAGAAGGATGCCTCCCTACAGTCGTTCTTCACAGCGGTGATTGATTGTCCAAATTACCTTGTTTGGGTTTTAATAGTATAGAAAATAACGTCTCGATGTTAAGCATCGAGAACGTATCTCGATCGGTTTCGGAGACGTCGGTCCGCGCAGATTCATCAGAAGCTGTGCCGTTGCATCTGTAAAAAAAGGCGAGAGAAGAATCCGTTCGATAAATAGTGCAACACTATCGGTTCTATGTCAATAAAGCGTATTACCATGAACGATTCACAGAGATAAATATTGTTGACAGATATCATTAATATCTATTAATATGTTTATCGTTACGGATACATATTGACATCGGATTTAGCTGTATTGCCGCAATGCGTGATATTATCGTGTTTCATCATAGGGACGCTCAGAGATAATGTTAATTTGTATAAATCAGATGGATCATTAATTCACGATGAGTAAATATTATTATCGAATCGATTCGACGACGTAACAAATTATTCGTATTCTTGGACAAATATCAAAATTAATATAACTACAAAAATATGTGCTGAAATGTAATTTTATGGCGACTGAATTGAAATTGTACAAAATTAAACTTGATTTTATTAAAACAATGGCATCAATTCAAAATTCTAATTTGTCATCCTGCTTCTGAGCCCCTATTTTGTAATTCTTAACGACAGTGTCGGTATCATTGCACAATTATATTTCTATATATGGCAAAAATGCTGTGCAGTAACAATATAACCTAACCTAACGAGGAAGATAGCCCGAATTGGAGCCAAAACGCACTGTAAGATACATTTTGAAGGAATAAAGGACACATTGTCACACAAAAATTTACGCTCCACTAACTGGAGTTAGACTGTTAGAGCCTTTGCTCACTTTATAATTAAACGATGTTGAGAGTTATAGAATGGAAGCACTAATCTCTTAACTCATTTATTATATAAAAACCATTTTGCGGACTTTTTGTTTTTACTTCGTAAAGGCGAGGACGCGCGAACCGTCGCTATAACGGAAATTGAAACGATAACATACGCAAGGAAATAGGATCTTAAACTATTTGCGATTAAACTCAATTTCTCGAGTACTTAATAGCTTTAACGATGGTTTGCGATTTCAATAATAACTGTCAATGATAGGAATTATGATTAGGACGATTACTTTCAATTCCGGCTGATTGCAGTTTGATGCTTTTTTGCATGTAAATATTAATTTTTATTCCAAGATATCGATCTATTAATGCCTTATAAGTTCACGGGAAGAAAGATATGCTAAAACAATTAAAAACTTCATTCACTAAATCAGGAAATCCATAGCCGTAATATATATGAACAGCCAATTTTCTATGTAAAGTAGCAAAGTTGTACAGCTGAGTAACATTAGCGATTATATGTAATCATATATATTTGTTGTAATAGTACAGTAAATTTATTAATACAGAAAAGATAACTTTCTCTACAAAAATTAATCCATATAATTAAACATTTTTAACAAAACATATTAAGATGGCACATATTTTTGTTATTATAATGAAGAAACTTTATTATATTAGCAATTTTCATTGTAGAAAATTAACTGAATTAGCATACTAATAATTTTGGTTACAGATACAAATTTTTAAACCATCAAATCTGTTTATATAATTATAGATATTGAATTCGTCTAGCAAACTATAATGTTGCTGAATTATCTATCTTTTTCTGTGTATTAATAATGGAAGTATATAATTACCAGAGTAAAATAAAAAAAAAACCTCGGAAATGCTATACGCTGAAAATGACATCAAAGATTAATATGTCATAAAATATGTATTAATATATTAAACAAAAAAATTATTTTTACCTTTTAGGCAAAAAATTTATATTTATATTATTTTATATTATATTTAAATTTATATTATTTCTACGCGTTCCAACAAAAGGTTCTATAAAGAATACGAAACTAAAAATATTATAAATTGATTTCTCGGAGAATTGCAGTTGCAACAAAATCTTTTCTAGTAGTTCTGATTTCATTTTTTATGCGATATACCGCTGTCGGAGAACAGTAAGAAAAAGACAGACAATCTTTTCAACGAATTCTACTGTTTTTTCAAATAAAATTATCTTTTCTTGCATAAATCGGCACTCTTCAGCTCTTTGTGTAATACTACTAAGCTAAAATCATCAAAAATGAATATTGTATAATAAGAGATTTCATATTTTATTATTCTCTAATATATTCTGATATAAAATATGATGTACATATCTTGTAAAAAATGTTCATTTTCCAATGACCTTATTTTGTATGTAAAATGAGAAGAAGAATCGATCAATGTAAAAAGAGACGTAGCGGCATTTGAAGGAAAAAAAC